TAAAATCAATCGGAGGTCATTCATCAGAATATTTAAACCAGCCATCTATAAATATTGGGCATAGGCTGGAGGGAAATTTGGAGAACTCTGTAAATTCAAGAAGACCTGCTCCCAATCTGTATGCCACCCTCCTCCCACCTCTTGAGTCTTCCCAGCTGGTATAGGTGAGAATCTGTTGTGTTGTTGTGGGTAGCCAGATAGACTTTAAGATAAATGTTCTCATGTTTTAAGGTTAAAATAAAAGGTTAGGCTGTAGACCTGTTTCTGCCTCTCTTATCGATAGCCTGCCCAGAAGGTTACCTGTAATCTAGGTAACACACCTGGCCTTTTTGGTCACTGGCTCAGTCCACCTGGGCCCCCTGCTCCTTGCTGTACTTTCCTAGCTCCAGGTTTCCTACCCTTTCAGGCTTTCCTAGTAATGGGGGCAGGGCTTCCCTGTTATAATTGCCTTGAAGCGATGGGTATCATTTGGAGGTCTTATCAGAAGAGGTGAATTTATGGAGTGATACCAGTTGTCATAGCATCAACCAGGATTCAACTAGAATGCCTAGATTTTACTTGCAGATTCCTCAAGTCATCATGACTGCATACACCTGAGTCATTTACTGACTGAGATGGGATGGATTATGCACAGATCTAGAATAGATGAATATTAGTCCATCAAAAGTCATTGGTTCTTTTTTTTTTTTTCTTCTTGTGAAAATACAACTGGGGGAAAAAAGTTCCAGGATTCAGGTGCGCATAGAGGAAAAGTTAGAAAATGGTACTGCGATGCACTCAGTAAATACCTGGAGATTTAATTGGACCTCTCTGAAATGGAAGGGAGCTTTCCACAGACTTTGGGTTTTGGATGAAGACAGTGGCATGCACAGTTGAATGTTAAGCCTATCTGCCAGTCCACATAAGAAATGTTAACATTAAACAAAGTTCTGAGATGCTATTATATTTTGATCTTGACTTGTACAGTCATAACATTTTGAGTAAGAAGCTTTTAGTGCCTAAATCTTAAATTTTTATACTTGCAGAAAATAAGTAGATGTGGAAAATCTAGGGAAAAAAATAACCAGATTGGCTCGATTCCTTCCAAGCCTAAATGCATGTCAAGAAAATAACATGTAACAACACGTTAGCTGGTGAGCTAGCTATTTGATTAAATGGAATAAAGCTCATCAGCCATCCATCCATTCTCCTACTATCTCCTACTGACACACTACCTGCTTTGTAACAATTTTAATAGAGGCATGCCATATCTCCTGGTGATGTATCATTGTGCAACTCCTAGGGGGTTAAATCTTGGAACAACTGGGTTATACACTGCATCTCCAAACTATTGACAAGAAAGTAGAGTTGTCTAGTTGTCTATCAGCTATTTTAGGTGGGTCTGGCTTCTCACAGCACGAACTGCAGATGGACTCCCTCCCTAAAGATCAACAAGGGAGGGGGAATTTCTCATGCATACACTCACCCCTGTCAAAGGGCTTATGTACCAGTACTTTATGGTTTTATTGGCAGGGGGTGGGGGTAGACAGTACTGTACATATTAGCATGTTGGCCATGCAAATCAAAGGAGTGAAAATATGCGACTGTCTGAGGGTTTGCTTTCACACTGGCAGTTGTGCTTTGTTGCTTGCTGATCTGAGTTGCAGGAGTGGGTGGTTTAGGACTATAAGATCCTGGGAACTCTAGCCCTCAGTCAGTGAGCAACGTTAGCGTAAGCCTGACTTTGGGCATCTCAGTGGCCCTACAACACCGAATGCAGTGAAAGCACTTATTTAAAAACAAGTTCAGTATGCACTCATTTGCTGAGAAGTTGGGTAAACTCCACCCCCAAATTGGTGAATGAATGATCAAATCACAAGCCCAGTAGCAAAGTTTTTAATAAGTTGGTGGTGGTGGTGATATGACATGACTAGATAATAGCAAAGACACAGGGAAGCGTTCTGGATAGCTACTGAGCCGTTAGCTTAACCTCCAAAGAATGCAGAGCTTTAAAATAAGATTTGAAGGGAAGATTAAGACCTAGGGATAAATTGAAAATAGGATCAAATGAAATATAAATTTACCAAGGGTAGATTATGACAGGCTAACTTGATACCTTTTTGATAACTGATTTTCTTCCCCCTGACAAGGGCATTTCAATAGAGCTTTTATATTAGGACTCCACTCAAGTTGCATATAAGAAATTATGAGTGAAAATGAAGGAGGAGAGGATAGTAAGAAAACTGTAAAGTATTTAGGGAACTGGTGAAAGAGGAGACAGTGTGTCTTGTATTGAAAGGAGATTTGTTGGGTTGGAGGGAGGTTGCTAATGTAGCTCCTCAAGACATGGTTTTGCAGTCAGTTTTTCATTTAATATTTCTGTTAATGACCTTGACACCCAGAGTCATAGTATGTTAATTAAATTTGCTGATGAGATAGTTGGGAAGCATCACCGATACAGAGAAGTGTCAGAGTATCATACAGGAAGTGAGCGATCTTGAGGACTGGAGTAGTAGGAGTTGGATGAAATTTAATGGCAAAATGGTACAAAGTGAAGGTCAGAGTTCTTGCCAATTGAAAATGATCAAGGAAAAAGATTGAAATGTATTGGTCTGTCAGAGGATAAAGCACCAATGTGATATGGCCCTGAAAAGGGCAAATGTGATTCTAGGATGTGTTGGGCAACACATTCCCAATAGAAATGGAAAAGCATTAATATTTATATAAGGGACTGGTGTGGGGGGCCAGTAGGGGGAGCTTCTGCACTGAGCCACCCACCTCGCTGCATCTGGCCGAAAACCAAGCTTCGAGTGCTTCCCCTGAGGCGCCTACGTCTGGCCAACCCCCTTCCTGGAGCACACCTGCAAGCCTGGGGTACCGCTGCCACCACCCAGGCTCGGGTCTTTGTCAGGGCCCCATGCCACCCGGGATACTGGCCCTGTAGATGCAAGGGTTGCTTAACCCCCACAGGATCCATCTGGCTGCTTATAGCTTGAAGCATAGAAAGTAGCCTCCCTTAGTCGGCTGAGTAAAGGGAGCAAGAAGGCCTGCCCAATCCCTCTCGAGCATGTACAACAAGGCTGGCTATAACAGATAGCTTTTTTGGGTAGAGAGGGTAGGCATGGGAATGGGTACAAGTCAGAGAAGTAGCAAAAGAATAACCCTCAGCAAAGAGAAGCAATTTGGTAACCTTTTGATATACAACTAGAGTACATTAAACTAAGGTCCTAGTTAAGTTTCTAGTAAGTTAGTCACTTCCACATCCAGTCAATGAGAGAGAGCTGTGGAGGTCCATGCATCTGTGTGTGTGTTTTAAAGTGTCCTGTTTTTCCTGGAGGGGCCCTCTTAAATAGCCCTCCTGACCTCACCGCCTGGACCCAGTCAGGGACAGGGGTCATTTGATGTCAGCTAATCAATTTGAAAAACATCACAGTTACCTAAGGGAGTGACATGGGCTTAAGCCCCTGCCCCTATGTCATGAGGTCAGAGCTCAAAACAAGAGGGTGTGGATTTAACCTCTCTATTACCTGAGGCCAGTCACGTATGCAGTGGCAGAGAGCTGGCTGCCTAGAAACCGACTGATAGATTTGTGAGTGAGAGGGGAACAGACAACCCGAAAGGGAGAGGAGGCTGGGAGGGAGTTATTTCACAGCGGGTACCCCTTGTATTCAAAATTTAACACAGATGAGGAATTATTTTCACCCATGTTCAAAAAAGAATTCAAATTGGACCTGGGGCAGAGAAGGGTTACCAGGGTGATTGGAAAAATGGCAAGTCTGTTTATGGGAGGTAACAGATTGGCTTATTTAGCCCAGCAAATAAAGACTGGGAAGGAGGTGTAGTCGTTTCTATGAATCCAGAGATGGGTATGGTAGTTACATGTGTTAGTCTGAAGTCAGGCAAAAGGCAGGGTAGACTTGCATCTTACAGGCTAACAAAATCGGAGATGCATAAGGTTTTGTAAGCAGAGGCTTACTTCATCAGATGCTGTGAAGGGACTGCAGGAAGCAGAGCTTCAGTCCCTTCATAGCATCTGAGGAAGTAAACCTCTGCTTACAAAAGCTTATACATCTCCGATTTTATTAATCTGCAAGGTTCAAATGTACTCAGCCATCTTCTCTGAATATTTCAGGGTGGGAATACCAGGGAGGGAGAAGAACAGTTTTTAAAGGACAGTGTTGATGCAAGAAAAAATGTGCATAAACAATTCATGAATAAATTTAGGCTGGAAATTGAAAGAATGTCTCTACCCTTCAGAGTTGCAAGGGTCTAAAGCAACCTCAGAAAGAGAGCATGGTTGGGAGCAAGCAACTTAACCAGCTTTAAGATGCAGCTTAATAAATTTCTTTAAAAGGATTATATGACATGGTTGATTTATGATAACTGGGGACTGGACTCAGTGACCCAGAAGGCCCCTTCCAACCTAATGTCCTATATTCTTACAAAGGTCATTCTTCCAGGCTATTTCCTTGGTAGGTCCTAGTACATCAAAACCTAAAGAAAGAAATCCATTTTTTTTGCCTCCCAAATATGCTTTTTTCCTCCTGTTTGTTCCTTTTGTCCAATGCAGTTCTTTGGTGTTCCATAGATGAGCAGGTTCACATACTTATAGTTTGGCTATATGATATCATGATTCTTACAGAGTCTCCCTCTGGTGTCTCTTGCCTTGCAAATCCAGCATTTTGTTGGAGTACCTCACTGAAACGGGCTTTGCCTCATATCCTAGAGGGAGAAACTGGGGCACAGAGGCGTTAAAGGGACTTTCCTAGGGTAATGTCAAGAATCCTGTGGCAGACCTGGGACTAGAACCCTGGCTGTAAGGCTCTTTTTCCATGCATTCAGCCTTGGCTGTGTTTTCCCTTTGATATCCTGTGCTCTCTTCATGTATGTGTTTTCTTTCTTTCTTTCTTTTTTTTTCCCCACCACAAAACGTTTTGGTTTTTGGCTCTGTATGGATTTTTGTTGCTGTTTCACCCAAGCCAAGATCCCTCTCTTCTCATGTGTATCATGCTGCTCTGCAGATCCTGGCCTGGTTTGAAGAAGGTGAAGAGACTACGACTGCATTTGTGGAGCCAGTTGTCATCATCATGATTCTCATAGCTAACGCTGTTGTGGGAGTGTGGCAGGTATGTCCTAGCTCTTGCCTCCTATTCTTTTCAGTTCCCTGGTGAATAATTGTGGGAGGGAAGCTATTTGCCAAGCTCCAGAAGCTGTGTAGTTTTCATGAATGAAGCCCTGTTTCTTTAGCTGAAGCTTGTTATTTACTTTATGGTGGCTGGGTCTTCACTGCAAAGGTAACTTGAGTTCTCTTTACTTGGGGTAGGTTCTCTTGTCAGAGGTGGGCAAAACGTGGCCTGGAGGCTGGATCCAGCCTGCCAGGCTATTTTATCTGGCCCGTGGAGCCCCTAAAAAATGTAGAAAATGAATATTTACTTGCTCCTAGCTGCCTGTCAAAGATGACAGGAGGGGCAGTAGGACCCAGAGGAAGCTGGTGGCAGAACCCAGCAGTAAGGCCTGCCCAGCTCTGCCCCCTCAACCAGAAAACCTGTACTTAGCAGAGGCTTCTGGCCTGGGACCATGGGGCTGTTCCTGCTTCCCTGCACTGGAGAGGGAAACATGGCCCTTAACAGCTTGCCAAAACTTGGGAAGCGGCCTTCCGCCCGAAATAATTGCCCACCCCTGTCTTAAGTGATCCTGCATCAGATAAAAGCAAATGCACTGTAAAACAGGAGTCGGCAACATTTTTGGGCAGTGCGCCAAAAATACCAACAGCCTCCATCTGCCATACCAGGGCAAGCCACAGGCCCCCTGGGCCTGCATGACATGCGAATACCCCGTCCCCCATTTGCTGCACCATGTACTTACACCTCCATCCCACACCTCTGGCACTGCACCACATACCTGAACGGTACCTGGCTCACCCTCAGCTCTCCTGGTCACACTGCACTGCCCCACCCTTTGGAGCAGGGGCAAGCAGTGAAAGCTAGAGGAGGGGAGAGATGGTGGGTGCTGAGCCCAGAGAGTCCAGCTACACTTACAGCAGGAGCAGAGGTTGGGCAGGAGTCTGGCAGCTGCAATGTGTAACCCCACATGCAGCCCTCCTTTAGGCTATGCCCCTTATTAATTTAACCAGCTCCAGTTAAGAGCACACAGTAGTTGGGTTCAGGGGTTTTCTACATGGATGAGACTTGAATTAGGGGTGGCACCCTTGAGTTAACTTCAGCCCATGGTGGAGACGTTTATGCAGCTGTCAAGACTGAAAACCGGAGAAAGCGGAACATTTGGAGATTAGGTGCAGAAATTTTGGAGAACAAAATAGGAAACCAAATTGAGGCAGATAACAGTAACCCTTTAATTGCCAAATGGTGATTGAAATGAGCAGCCAGAGTCTGACAGGGGAAAAACTTTCCTTCTCACCAGTTCAGCTCCCCTGGTATTACCCATGAGTAGGGCATAGGCCTTGAGTGGGTGAATTTCACCCTGTAAAACCTGTTTAAAAAAAATCTGAGAGAGCTTTCAAGGATATAAAATGCCACTCTACATAAAAATAGTTAGAATGACATACACTGCATTTAATCTTTATTTTATCATCCCTTTAATCTCTGTTTGGCAACTTCCATAGTTTGGAGCTTAGGTTCCTGCACTTATTCACCACCTAGTTAAGCACCACTTAGCTCTTGGCAATAGCTGCATGCATTTTTCAACAAGCAAACTTTTTTCCTAATGCTCCCACAGAGAAGTAACAGTCCTTGCCAGATACTTTCACTTGCCTAATTTTGTTCCCTGGAACATCTTGCAGTCTGACCTCCATCCTGATTTAAGCCACTTATTCTGTGCAGTTCCAAGATCCTGTTGATACATTTTTACATGGGTCCAAAATATTAATACTGCTTTACATATTCAGAACACTTTCCTTGCAGGAACCTTAAAGTTGCTTCCACACGCTTGCTAACTTAAGCTCCACAATGGTAACACTTATGAACGAGTATTACCCATTTCATAGATATAGAAACTGAGATAGGAATATAGCACAACTGGGGCTTAAAGCCACAAATTCTGACTCCCAGCCATGTGCTGTAACCATTACCAGTGTCTTTGATTCCATGTGTCTTTTGTCCTTCCAACCTCTAAGGATAGTAGCAAAATGTAGCACTGTATGTATACTGCTTTGTTCACAAACTCTTGCCCCTCCATGAAGTAAGTAATGGTGGGGGGGGGTGTTTTTTTGGGGGGGTTTTTTCCCCCTCATTCTCCTGTGGAAAAAATGAGGTACAGCAAGGTTAATGTACTTCCAGTGCAAATCTGGCAAAGCCAGGCTCAAGATTTAAAAGATTCCTTTTTTCTGACAAACTAGTTCATGATTCTGCCCAGCAGACAAATAGGGGGATGTTTGCTTATCAGCAACTACTCCCTCCAATGATACAATTGCCTGAAGTTCTGTTTCTTGCTGTATTTCCAGGAGAGAAATGCTGAGAGTGCTATTGAAGCCCTAAAAGAATATGAGCCAGAAATGGGAAAGGTGATACGCACTGACAAGAATGGAGTCCAGAGGATCCGGGCTCGTGATATTGTACCTGGGGATATCGTGGAAGTGGCAGGTAGGTATAGCACAGAGGTCCACAGCCCCTTCTCTTTTTGCATATGCATTAGGGTACTGTTAGAAATTCCCTGGTGCTCTGAAGGCAAAGCAGCCTGTAGCTTTTGGCCAGGTACTTGCTGTGCCTCCTAGCCATGGGAGCAGTGGCATAACTAGGGCAGGGCAAACAGGGCATCAGCTATGAGGGAGTGTTAGAACTGCCCTCCACCCCAGGAGTCTTTGCCATGGCATGGGCAGCACGAGGGGGTGCTGCACCCATCAGTCTATCTGGCATTCCCACCCCTGGCCTCCCTGGGAAGTCTTTACCTAGGCAGTCATAGCCAGGTGTTCACTATGGGTGTATTGCAGTACCTTGCTCCCCTGTGCTTGGAAGCTGGGAACCAATGTGTAGCTGGTACAAGCTAAGCCCATGTTTCATGCCATTGGAGTTTTAGAAAACATTGGTTTAGAAGGAAAGGCACAAGAAAACTACATCATCCTGCTTGCTCTGTGATTTTGAACAGTGATGTTTGAGGCAGCTTTTTCTCCCTATAATGAGCTGAAACAGTAACTATGCTCCAGCAATATGCATGGTTTTACAATGAAATACCCAGCATTATGATGAGTGTGGTTATGTGACATGTTGTGCTTTTTCTGCAAGGCTTGGCAGGAGACTGTTTGTTTCAAGGGTTATAGAGTAACAGCAGCCACCATAAATCTATTTTGTGTAGAGAGGGGAGATTGGTTGTTAATCTGCAACCCCAATGTATCCTTTAATTTCTGTGTCTTTAAACTCGCAATGTGTTAGAGATGGGACAGGAAATGCAAGCAAAGCAGTGATGCCAAAAGAAATCTGAGTGACACTGGCTGTCAATTTGGACACACTTTAGCAGTTGTAAATGGCACCAAAAATTGCTAATAGGATTGTGGCCTGCAGCCATCTAGGCATTGCGCCATGAGGCAGGGATGTGAAAGTCCTTCTCCACATGGCTCTTTTGAGATCACATCTGGAGCAATACTAGTACTTGGCTTTTAGGAAAGTGTCATTTTCAGTTTACAATTGGGGAAATCTGAGATTTAGAGTTGAAGTGAAGCTGGGGCTCCATCAGCTAGAGAGCAGGAACCAAACCCGTTCTTGGTGCAATTCCCTAGCAGCAATGGTGCTGCACAAAAGAAGAGATTTTGACCTAGCATTTCCCAAAGAACTGATTATTTGGAAGAGCTTCTCATTTTCCATGTAGATTTTCCTTCTGGTTAAATTGCTTCCCTGTCTCCTGATCAGTTATCCAAACAACACAAATGAAAGGCCAGCCCTGTGCACCTCTGAGTACATCCTCACAAATGTGCAGACAATGCCAGCAAAGCAGTTACATGAGCTGTTTTTTTTAATGTCTTAGGAAATGTTGCTTGTTCCATTTCTGTGGGCTGGAATCCTTGGTAACTTAGGTTTATTACTCATGGAAGACGAATAGCACTAGGGTGGGAGAAGCTGAGGGAAAGGCCTTGGTTTGCAAGCACCATGGAGACTTGTGCAGTTGCATCTGGGCTTCAGTTGCTTCCATCTGCATTCATTAATTTCATCGTATGGCTTCTCCTTCCATTTCCTGCTCATGCAGCTCTTGAGCAAGAGAGATCCTATGTTCATCTCTTCTTCATTGGCTAAAGAAATCGCTCTTAAATAGATTTTTTTCTTGGCCATTGAAAATAAATTAACTGCACCCAGAAAGTACAAGTTTGGCAGGGTCTATATCATACCGTTTACCCTTTTGCTTATATCCTACTCTGTGGTTTCCCATTTCCCAAGCATCCCTCAAATACCCAAGTACTTTTGGTTTGGTCTTTGAGTACTTTTCTGCCCTATAGTGCTAGCTGTGCCCACCATTGGACCTGTTCCTTTTCCGCCCCCCCCTGTATTTGTCTGAGCTTCAGGATAACCTCTCAGGGCACGTCCACATGTGCAAACACGTGCGCTTGCAGCAGCTCAAATAGAAGCGGTGCAAATTTGAGCCGGGGCTTTTTGCTTCAGCGCACATGCTCGGACTTGCACTTTGTTATGGAGCAAATTGTACCCCTTGGGGCAAAATAACCCTGCCTGGCTCCTGGATCTTCAGCCAGGGGGAGCTAGACCCCGGGGCCAGCACCTGTGCTGTCCCCAGCAGCATATAAAGCTGCCCTGTCCTGGCCTCAGCAGTATAAAAAACCGCCGTGGCAAGTAGCTCAGGGCTACTAGCTCTCAGGAGCTTCTGGGGCCCAGCTAATTGGGTACACTACCCCTTGTGCCAGCTGGACTGCTGAAGCAGCCCTGAGAGTTCCCTGCACCCTCTACCCACTGCAGCAGTCTGG